AGAAGAAACCGTGCTGGGTTTGCACAGTACCTGGGATCTCAGACGCCCCGCCTCTTCCTGCAGACTCTGTCTCTCCAGCAGAAGCTGATTCTGCTTGTTGAGGAGCTGCACCAGCTGAAGGGCCGTGGCCTGGCTGTGCTTGTCCAGCTGCTTCAGCCTGCAGAGAAATCCACCGCAGAGTTAGGGCCCGGGGGCAACAGGTGTCAGAGAGCAAGGGGGACCACGCCCAACTTCAGCCCTCCGGCGTGTTCCATGGCTGCCTGTGTCTGCCGTAAGCTCCAGACGGTGAACCGGGAGCTGTAAGTCTAGGGCGACCCTGAGGGGTGAGGCCGTGGCTAGCTAGCAGTGGGCTAAGTGGAACGGAATCATATCAAATGTGAACCGGCATTAAGAGCCTTTGCGACGGAGTTGTCAATTAGGAAACACACAGACAAGTTGGGTAAGTAGAAGAAAAACCGAAAGCGTAAACTCACCAGGGTCAAAGATGAGGGGCCTAAATGCCTCCATTGTTCAGCTGGAGACGTTGCTGGCAGGCTGGAGCAGACAGCCCGCCCAGGCTGGGCAAGTGGGCGAGGGACAGCAGAAACACTGAACTAAGGGTTTTCCATTATTAATCACTCAGTCAATCACGAGCTCCGGCATCGCTGACCAGATGTCTTTAAAGATCCTAAATTTGTCATTCTGCTGATGGGCCCTCCTCTCCAGACTTGCTAATTCACTCAAACTATTATCCTCATTTGTCCACAGACGGCTTCCTACAGCCAGTAGCACGCTCGCCCCTGGGAATGTAGGCTTTGGATTAAATTTAGAGTTGCATAACTACCCACAACTGTTCTGGAAAGAAGCTGGATGTGTCATGCGCCCTTCCTCACAGACTTCACCCACTAAAGCACCAACGGTGAAATTAACTTGCATTTTCACAAGAAAGGGGTTTTCAAAGCTCAAGATGCATTTCAAACTCCAAGCTACATGTCCAACACTGAGTCAATGACCTCTCCGAATCTGCAGACACCGGCGTCGGGGCACCCCCTTAGCCTTCCTGCGGGTCTAGGGAGCTCTGAGCACAACCAAGGGGTGGGAGGGCGCCCTCACCAGCAGCGAGGCAGCAACTGGGGGGTGGTACAACTACACCCCAGGAAACCTAACGACTTTCTAGTATTACTGGCGCTCTCCCGGATGCCTGTGCCACGTGCAACCCTGTCCATTTCCGTTTCCGAGACGGCACCTACCTACCGCCCGCCCTTCTCAACCTCGGATGGATTTGGGGGCACCTTCGTTCAAGCTGCCCCTGACAGCACACTTGCCGCCCCAGTCCCCACCCCGGTTCCCTCCTCTTCACACACCGCGGGCTACTTCCCACACCGGCAAGTGCGACGGGTAGGGTAGCCGGGAGCGAGCGGGAAACCGAGAGACACCGGTGGGCGCCCAGGCAGCAGGACGCATGCTCACAAAGCCCGCCCCGCCCCCCTGCGCTGGAGACCGCCGTCTGGCCCCGCCCACAGGCCCATGCCCCGCCCACCGGCCTCCAGCCTTCTGCGGGTTCTGGAGAAAGAGCAAGAAGAGCCAAGGGCAGAGCTTAGTTCTTTCCTCCTTAGTTCCTTCCTGAGCCTGTAGCTGTTCCGGGCCAGGGTCAGCCGCTCCAGCCCAGATCGGCTTCCCAGGTCCCCGGAACCGAACACAAGGATCTTCCATCCAAGTGTGAGTGCTTTCCTGCTCCTGTTCTGTATACACAGTAATGCCCCCGCCCCTGTTACCCTTCCTCCGATCGATCGTGGTGCAGCCAGGGCACCTGGGGCTTTGGGAAGCCCGCTCTGTCCCCACCGCCACTGTCACACAGAGACAGTTTCTTCTGAGAGCAGCCTCAAAACCACCCCACTGGCGTCAGACCAAACAGGAGTTTCCCTGCGTTGCGTCCTGGACCCGGCACGGCTGGGGGAGGCAAGGGCATCCCAGGGCGGCCTAGAAGCCGGGCCAGTGGGCTGGGGGCGGGGGTGGGGGGTGAGCGCCAGGCAGGGGCATTCTGCCGGGGCTGAGCCACCGACAGATGCAGGCAGCCACCACTCACTTGAGCAGCTACTCTGCTGTCCAGCACCGGAGTGCGTCCCGGAGATGATGCAGAGGGGAGGAGAGCAGCCTTTTTCCTTGAGAAGCACACAATCTAACATTTGGATGTTTGAATCAGGCGAAAAGCATCATTGTTAGCAGCTGAGCTGTCTAAACCCTTGGGTGGCTTTCCCCCTCCAATCAAGTCCTGGGTGTGGAGACAGCCACAGGCCAAGAGTTAGTGAGGTAGTAACCCACTGGCTTCATGTTCGCTGGAAACAAATGTAACAGAAACATGTGATAAATAGATGACACCATTAAGGCTTAAAGGCAACAAGGCGCCAAGAATGGCCTTTCTCCATGTGGTCCCTTGCCCTGTGCTTTGATCAAATGGGAAAACAGTCCTATGGACGGATGGCTTCAGCATGTGTTTTTGGGCTCCTGGAAAGAGGTGGCTCCCTGATCCAGAGCTCCGGGCTGAGCCAAACCCTGGTCTCATCGCACAAAATACCGGCCATGGGCTAGCCACACTGGCTTACAGCCAGAATCGGGGCCAGTTCCTGCCTAGACTCTCCCCCTTTGGAGCCCCCCGGAACCTAAATCAGGCTCTGTTGGCAGCGTTTTGCAAACTGTAGGCTTCGGATCCCTGCGGCAATTATCTAAGAGCGCCCAGGCCCCACCCAGCCTGGCTGAATCCAGTCCCTGGGTGTGAACTGGGCATCAGAGCAGGAAACTGCTGCCTGGGTTGTGCAGCAGAAGGACCACCAATCTGGGGAGTAAGGGCCTCGGGAGGGCCAGGTCCTCCCTCAACGAGGCTGAAGCCCCCACTAGCTTTGTGGCTGGAACCGACTTGAACACTCCACGCAGTCAACCTTGGGGTGCTTTTCTCCCTTTAAAAGACATGTTGTTCGGGGTCAGCCTCTATTATGGCACTCCACGTGCAGCAACAAAGGCAATCACAAGCTCAGAAAAGGTCAAAACCACAATAACAACAAACCCAAACCCACATTTGTTAAAAGGGTGACAGAAAGAAAGAGAGAGAGAGAAAGAAAGAAAGAAAGAAAGAAACCTACCTAGATTTTAGATAAAAGGGATTTTGTTACGGAAATATATTTCAGTAGCAGCTCTCAAGGCCTATTAGGAATATTGGGAAGACATCGTTTTTACAATGAAAAGTTATTTGGGGGGACAGCCTTCCCCAAACACCACACAACCCTGCCTATACTCTGTTCGTGGATGTTCCTTTACTCAGTTAGAAGAGATACCTCGGGGTGTCCTAGGACACAAAAGTTGTCTTGTATTTTCCACACTGGTTGTTGCTGTCACTTCTGTCCTTCTAAGTGCCCATGTTCAGCTGCCACCACTGACAACAGCTAATGTGAACTGAGCCCTGTGCTTATTCCTCCGCGGTGATTATCTCATTAAAAGCTAGATGCTAGCTTCCCATTTTACAGATGAGAAACTGAAGCTAAGAGGTTCGATTAACTTGCACAAAGCCATACAAAAGTGGTCGAGCTTGGAGGCACGTTTAGGCAGTGCCTGAGTGTTTTTGTTTCTGTGTTTGTTTTTGTGTATGTATTTATTTTGAGAGAGATGGGGAGACAGAAAAATCACAAGTAGGCTCCAAGCTGTCAGCGCGGAGCCCGCTGTGGGGCTCAATCCCACGGACCGTGAGATCATGACCTGAACTGAAATCAAGAGTCGGGCACTTAACCGATGGAGCCGCCCAGGTGGCCCAGTGCCCTGGTGTCCTTATAATGGATGGTTGATTCATGGAGTTAATTCAGGAAACCAGCCAACCCCTGGCAAGCATATCTTAAGCGTGGAGTACTAAGGTAGATGCTGGGAATACATCAACAATCACAATGGGTCCCTGCCTTCAGAGGGCCAATTCTGGAGAGACCAGCTGGAAAATGAAAAGGTGCTGTCCTGAAAGCGGGGCCGGTGAAAGCAGGAAAGCGAGTGGTCACCGGGCAAGTGAGGGGTAGAGGAGGCTTGTGCCCATCAAGGAAAACACACCAGCATCTTTTGAGCACCAGCTACGTGCCAGACGCTGCACTAAGTGCTTACAACAATCCCGCGGGCAGAAACTCATTATCCCCACTTTAAGAATGAGGAAACCCAGGCACAGAAAGATATACGGCTGGTTCGAGCCACTCCGCCGGTATGTCAGGATGTGAAGAGAATGGGGGTGTCTGGGAGGGGCAGGGGGCCCCCCATGAGAAGAGAGGCTGCAAAGGCCATGCTGTCTGGAACTGTGAGCTGGGCGGTGTGGCTGGCCCACAGTCTGCAGGCTGCTCACAGGGGTAAGGCTGGTCCCAGCCAGCTCTGCAGCCAAACTAACAGATACGACCTGGTCGTCCACACAATGGTGGTGTCCTTCACCGGGAAAGAGAGGATGGGAGGAAGGGCAGGCCTGGGGTGGGAGTTCTGGGGCCAGGGTGAGGCACCTGTGAGACACCCACCCACCCAGCAGTTGGGGCCCGGCACCTGGGACAGCTCTGGCTGGATCTCCGGTTGTGCTGGCCAAACCTGCTGAGAGGTGAGGCCATGAACTTGGGGCAAGATTCACCCAGGGAAGCCTGGCAGAGACTTTCACGTTTGTTAAAAATACAGGTATTGGGCGGCTCCGTCGGTTAAGCGTCTGACTCTTGATTTTGGCTCAGGTCATGAGCTCATGGTTTGTGGGTTCCAGCCCCACGTGGGGCTCCGCACTGACAGCACACTGCCTCCTTGGGATTCTCTCTCCCTCCCCCTCTCTCAAAATAAATAAGCCCCCTATGAGCTTCCTGGCTAAGCACACTTACAGCAGTGAGGGAGCAGGGCCAGGGCAGGGCCTTGGGGATCAGCCACATTTTACAGGCTAGCAGAGGACAGGGAGCCAGCAAGCCATAGCAAGCCATGGGGACAGAAGACGGGGAGGGAGGAGGGGAGCCAGGGGAGGAGACCTGGAGCTTAGGGGAAAAGGGACTTTCTGGGAGGAAGTGGGGGGGGGGGTCTTTGTGTGAGATGCCACTTGGCTGTGGAACACGCTGTGGACGTGCCCAGCCACGGCTGCCTGCCCTATCAGTAGGGAGGCGTGGTGGAAGCCTGATTATAAGGATGGAAGAGGGG